TGTGCATGCGTACCCAAGATCCCAAGAGGAGAATGGAGGAGAAAGGATTGCAGCGTGGCCATCCCCCCGGGGGGTGATTTCTCGCTTTTTGTCTCTCTCTTTTTGGCGAGTGTATGTGCCCTATAGCAAAAACCTCTCCCCCCCCCAGAAAAAAAGAATAAAGATGCTCCCAGGCCTTGCTCCCTCCCCCCTCCCCGCCACCTAGCTCTGAATGCAATGTGGTCAAACACGCATGTGCAGAGCCGGGGCCCCGACTCTGCAGCCAGGGCTCGCATTTCCACACATATACTTTTGTGACATGTCTTTCTAAGGACCTGCTCACAGCAGTTTCCTTGGAATGCTTTCTTGAACTGTCATCAGTATTGCTCAAGGATGTGGGAGTCCGCTGCTGTTAATTAGCCCTGTTCCTGTAGTGTTACGGAGATTTATAAAGTGTTTCCAAAAAGGATGTATTCAGTTTACTCAAAACACTTACGAAGGACCCGCAGACGGTGTGGAGGTTAAGAAGGCTGGATCCCACATGGCCAGTTGTGCGGTTCAAATCCCAGACCTAGCAGCCTGAAAATACACTGGGCATGTGTTCATGCATGCCCAAGTTCCCAAAAGAAGAACGGAGGAAAAAGGGATTGCAGCGTGGCCATCCCCCCTGAGGAATGATTTCTCACTTTCCCCCTCTCTGTCTCTCCAGCAAGCACACACACTGTATGTCAAAAAGCACATAATAATGAAAAAGAAAAGAAAAATAAAAACAAACAAAAAACACCTAAGAATGGCGATGTGATAGGAGCATACTGATTTTTCCCCATGCGATCTTTTTTTTTTTTTTTTTTGATTCCCAGAGGGCACATGCACTAACCAGAAAGATGAAGATGGGAGAGAGAGAAAAAGCACCTCCCAGAGGAGTGGGTCATGCCACAACCTTTTATCCTCCATTTCTCCATTCGGTCAGGACTTTGGACATGCGCACACATGTGCCTGGCATATTTTTCAAGCCTCTGAAGCCAGAATCTGAACAAAAATTGGTCATGTGGGTTCTGGCTGTTTCTGCACAGCTCTTGGCCACTACACTATGGGGCTGCCCTGTCCTAACTTCTCAAACGATCCTGTTACAATGATTAGAAGTCTAAAATTGGGGGACCAGCAGATGGCGTAATGGTTACATCGCTGGACTCGCACGTAGTCAACCACAGTTAAAGGTCCAGACCCAGTGACTTAAGAACTCATGCTGAGCACGTGTGCATGCGTGCCCAGGATCCCGAAGGGAGAATGAAGGAGAAGGGATTGTGGCATGGCCAGCTCCCCTAGGGGGTGATTTTTCACTTTCTGTCTCTCTGTCTGTCCGGTGACTGCATGCGCCCTGTATCAAAAAGCACTCTCAAAAAGAAAAAAAGAAGTCTAAAATTGGAATGAGTAATCTACCAGCAGCCTATGGCTTTTGAGTTAGGGGAGCTTGTATAATTTCTCTAAGTCATCTCAGATCAGAATGGTGTGGCTAAATTTATTTTTCTTAGTGTACCGAGATATTTCTTAACAGTAGCACTTTAAAAAGGTGGGGAGCCGACCCCACAACACGGTAGTTAAGTACTGTGTGTAGCTAACTGATCCCACATGGCCAACTGTAGTTGGCATCTTGGCCCCAGTGGCTTGAAAAACATGCTGGGAGGACCAGCATGAGAGGAGAATGGAGGAGAAGGGATTGTGGCGTGGCCATTCCTCCTGAGGGGATGATGTTTCGCTTTCTGTCTCTCTGTCTCTCTCTGTCTGTCTGCCTGGCGAGCTCATGCGCCTATGGCAAAAACCTTTCCAAAAAAAAAAAAAAAGAAGAAAAACATTCTGGGAGCATGTGAGTGCACACCTCTAATCCGGATGGGATGGAGAGGTGGAGGAAGAAGACTATGACATAACCCCGTCCTGCTGAGGGGAGCTTTCTCTCTCTCGCTCTCTCCTTACCTCCCTCTTTCTTTCTCCTTACGTCCCTCTCTCTCTCTCCTTCCCTCCCTCTCTCTCTCTCCTTACCTCCCTCTCTCTCTCTCTGGTGACCACCTATGCCCTCCAGCAATTAAAAAAAATCGGGGAATCATAAATCCCCACAAAAGTGGGGCAACATGGAGGTAAAACAGGCTCCAGCATCAACAAGACTTGGCTCCAACCCTCACTCTGCCTCTTCCCTATTTCGGGGGGACGGTCTGACCCCATCTTTTGCAGAAGCATGTAAATCGCCCGGGCAGCGTTGCTGAATGCTCCATTTTTATTTCCTGTTTTGTGGCTGTGGCTGCATCCTAAGCTTAATGTATGAAGTGCCTCACAGTCAAAAGAATGAGAGACTTGTTCTCCGAATGTATTGGAAGCATTAATTTAGCACCGAGGAATTTTCAGCTGGACGGTACTGAAAGATCACCCAGTTCTTCTCAATCCTGGCCAAATGTCAGAACCACCTGGGTCACTTGGTCTTTCGTTTTTTTTTTTTTTAGGTTTTTGCCATAGGGTACTGTGCTCATTGGAGAGACAGCGAGAGATAGAAGGAAAGTGAGAAATCACCCTCCAGGGAAGATGTCCACACCACAACCCGTTCCCTCCCACATTCTCCTCCCAGAGTCGGGGGCATGCACAAGTGCCTGGCATGATTTTCAAGCCACCAGGTCCAGGACTCGGACTGTGGTTAACCATGTGGGAGTCCAGTGCCTTAACCAGGATGCTATCTGCTGCCTTCACCTCCCACCTGGGCCACTTTTTAAGGATTCCCTGAGTTAGAATCCTTGGGCTTGGGACCTGGGCAGTAGCATTTTTTAAAGCTCTCCCAGTGGTTGTTATGGGCAGCTGGAACTGCGAATCCTTCACCCTTCAGGAGGAGGGCTGGCTTTTCCAAAGGGCCTGTGCGCGCTCCACTCTGACACTCATTCTGAGGATATTTACCGCATCCCATCCAGACTCCCAGCTGGTCCTCGCATCCCTACAGACTCAGATTTTGTTTAAACATTTCCAGCGAAGGGAAATATCTCCCCCTTCGGGCAGCCCGTGTCATTTCAGGCCTAAGCATCAAACCTTTTAAGGGAAGTGGGGGAAGCCGATTTTGGATAACAAGAGTCATAAAATACGAGCCAGAGGATACATCGAGGTCTTTCGATGAGAACTGTCATTCTACAGAGGCAAAAACGGAGACACAGAAATGAAGGGTCTTGCCCGAACCAACAGCATTAGTGATATACTTGACCATGGAAGACCAGGCCTGCTGCTTTCCAGATGAATCCCTGTCCCTCTTGTCCCTGTTCAGAGTCACTACAAGGGGGGGGGGTGATCTTCAGTGGGACGCATCAGGATGCACAAGGCAGGGCCTGGCTGAGGGGGAACCCCAACTCCCCCTGCAGCATCACTCTAGAAAGCAGTTCAACCCGATGGGATGAAGAGCCGCAGTCTCCCCCATCCTGCTGAGCCTGCCAGTCCCCAGAAGGCTGGAGGTGGAGGGGAGAGGAAAACCCACTTGAATAGTCATAAGGGTGTGGCACAAGGGACTTATGGAAATACTGTCCTGTGTCACCTCCCAGAGAGACAGGTGCAGGCACCAGCAGGGGCAGGGAGTAGGCTCTGGAAGGTGCTGTGTGATGCTAAATAGTGATATGGATGCGGGAGGATCCCAGTGGGTCTCTCTGTGTACATTAGACTTCAAGTGGCCTTGTTTACGGACTCACACTTGGCAATCAACTGGAATCATTCTGTCCGACCTCATAGTCTCTTCTGTTTACTACCGAGAAGCCCAGGATATGCCAGCACCTCTGAGCCAGGTTGCCTTATCAATAAATCAGAATGAATAATACCCAGTTTGGGTTGTTTTTCAAAGTTGCTTTATTCATTTTTTGAGAGACAAGATTCCCGACAAGATCTTGCCATACCTCGATCATCCCCAAGCCTTCCAGACAGCCAGGATCACAGGTATGCGTGGCGTGTCCAAGACAACCAGAGTTTGACCTCGGGCCCTTGCTGCAAGGCACCCCATTGCCTATACCACCATGATTGCGCCAATAACACCCAGCTTTGAACTGCCATGTGGAGTGAGTTACACAATGGCTGGTCAGCAAGCCAACCCATGGCAGGGTAGTTGAGGAGACTGAATCACACATGGCTGATTGCACAGTTCAAGTCCTGGACCCAGCAGCTTGATAAATACACCGAGCATGTGTGTGCATGGCCAAACTGCCCAAAAGGAGAGAGAAATGGAGGAGACGGGATTGTAGTGTGACCATTTCCAATGGGGAACGTTCTCACTTTCCTTCTCTGTCTCTCTCCTGTCAAGTGCACACACTCTCTGGCAACTTAAAAAAATAAGAGTGGTTAGCTGAAAGATAAGAAATCATATGATGTATCTATAGGTGCTGAAAAAACACTAAAAAAAAAAGTAGTTAGCACAGTGACTACCACACAGGCTGTGTCCAATAATGGGTGGCTGTTATTAATAATAATTATCCTAATACAAATATACTTTTAATTGCCAAAGGACATGTGTGCTCACCAAAGAGAGATGGAAAGACAGAGAGAAAGAGAGGAAGAAAGCACCCCGCAAGAGGGTGGGGCCATGTTGCAATCCCTTCTCCTCCACTTCTTCCTCCTTTTGAGATTGTGAGCATGCACACACATGCACCCCATGTGTTTTTCAATCCTCTGGGGATGGGATTTGAACTTAGGTTGGCCATGTGGGATCTGGCTCCCTTAAATGCATACATAAGCATACACCCCGGGTGTTTTTCAGTCCTCTGGGGCTGGGATTTGAACTTAGGTTGGTCATGTGGGATCTGGCTTCCTTAAACACTAGGCTACAGGGCAGGCCCTCAAAATGCAAATATTATGGTGATAAATTATCCTCATATACGTCCCATCACACCACACATCTCTGATGACAGAGGGCCTGTCATCGTGCATCTCCCGCCCACAGAGCTGGGCACAGAGCTCGCACACAGTGAGCACTGGTAAGCACTCAGTTTGAGGGGGACTGGATGAACCACTCTTACCGGATCACTCTGTTCTTTCAGGGGAATTTCGGATCCAAGCTCTGCCTCAAGGCTGACGGAGTCGATGCACTCTGCGAGTGTGTCCTCTGCCACTTCTCCATTGAGCGGGGTCTCTGTGGGCCGTTCGGGGTGCTCAGCAGTAGCAGTGTCTGCATCCTGAATGGCAGCACCTTCCAGCACATCTCCCCCAGGGTCCACTGGCGTTGGCTCATTTGAGATCGTGGCCAAATCACAGTGCACGTCTGTGTCTTCAGGTAGAGACGCGCTATTGGGCATCTCGGTCATTTCTGCTTTGTCCCCAGCGCCTGAGCCGTCACTGACATCATCAGACATTGTTAACACCTGCCAACAGGATTGTAAACAAACCCTTTATGGTTTCACCTAAATCGCTAAGTCTTCATTCAAAGCTCTGAATCATTCCATTTAATTGGGTGGGGGTAAACGTTCTCCTGCCACTAAGAAAGGATGTAACTTAGTAGTAGGCGTTTTAATTCTGAGATCTGGAACATTCCTTTACATGGCAAAAGGGACTTTGCGAGTGTGATCACAGATCTTGAGATGGGGAGGTTATTTTAGATGATCTGGTTGGGCCCCAAATGTAAACACGGGTGTTCTTATCAGAAGGAGATTTGACTACAGGCAATAATCCCCAGAACACAAAAGTGGGACTACATCAAGCTAAAAATTTTCTCATAGCAAAGGAAACAATAATTAGAGTGAAAAAGACAACCCTCAGAATGGGACAAAATATTTGCAAATTATTCCTCAGACAAGAGATTGTTATCTAGAATACATAGGTAACTCACGCAATTCACTCATTAAAAATAATAATAATAATCTAATGTAAAAATGGGCAAATTAATAGAATATACAACTTTCCAATATACAGTGTATTTTGGATAGAAAATTCATTTTGTGTGCTGTAACGTATAGTGAATTAATGTAAAAAAATTTAAAGAAAATGAAAAAAAATTTTTAAAGTAAAAAAACAACCTATGGAGTATGAGCAAAAATTTTTTGATATGTAAAGTAAATGTGGAAAAATATAAAAATAAATAAATGAAAAAAAGAAGACTTATGAATGGCCAAAAGACATATTAAAAAATGTTCAAAGTTTCTCATCCTAAATACAAATTAAAACCACAACAAGATATCACTTAGCCCTAGTAGAATGGCCAGGGTAAAAAGAAAGAAAAAAACGAATGACAAGCATTAGTGAGGCTGTAGAGAAAAGGGAACTCTCTTACATTGTTGGTGGGAATGTAAATTAGTACAACCTCTGTGGAAAACAATATGGAAGTTCCTACATATTGTTCCTACAAACAGAACTAATATATGACCCAGTAGTCTCACTCCTTGGTATTTACCCAAAGGATAGGAAAACACTCAGTTGGACAGATACTTGCACATTCATGTTTATTGCTGCATTATTCACAATTGCTAAGACATGGGATCACCCGCAGTGTTCATAAGTGATGACTGGGTTGAAAAACTGTGGCACATATATACTGTGGAATATTACTCAGTTATAAGAAACGGTGAGATCCTATTATTTGAATGAATATAGAAGACTTAATGTTGAATGAAATATGCTAGACTTTGAAAGATACACACTGTACATCTCCACTCAGTTTGTACTTGCACTCTATGGCAGGGGTTGAGCGATCTGAAGATGTGATGGTGGAGAGGATGAGGTATGGATGGTAGAGATTGTAAGGGGAGAGAATGGATGGTAGAGAGTGGGTGGTGAAGAGCTGGTGTGAGATGTAGTAGGAGAAAACATTTAACAGACATAAATATGTGAAATTACCTATTGAAAAATACATAGGTTATATATATCATAATGGGTTTTATGTAAAATGTGAAATTAATAAAAATTTTTAAAAATGATCTATCTAATATGGGGCCAACCAGCCTGCATGGTTGTTAAGGCAGCTGGATCCCATAAGTCTCACTGCATGGTTCAAGTCCCAAACCTAGAGGCTTGAAAGGCAGTGGCTTGAAAGAGGCTTGAAAGTACTGGGTACTTGCACGTACATATCCAAAATCCTGAGAGGAGAATGGAGAAGGAGAGACTGTAGCATGCCCATCCCCCTGGGGAGGTATTTCTCACTTTTTCTTTCTTTTTGTCTCTCTCCAATAAATGCATGTGCCCTATAACAAACAAACTAAACAAAAAATATTTATTTAATATGACTTCATCAATTCTATTTGTAGCAATAAGAGTAAATATAGAAAAGACTTCTGAGCTTATAAAAAAGATATCTGCCACGTAGCTTCACAATGTCAGAGACTTACAGCAAGAAACAGACATACATATACACAAGTGCTTTGTTGGGGACCAGCTGGTAAAAGCCTGAGTTCCGGCTAAACAATAGTTTAGTCACAGAAACACAAGGATGAAATGGAAAGGAAAAAAGTGAAGTTTTAAGCCAAATGAAGAATGTAGCCATTCTGAAGTAACCTACAAAGCAGAAAACTGTTTTTGAAACTTCCAAGTCATTGATATCACATAGAACAGCACATCCATATTTATTGCTGCATTATTTACAATTGTTAAGATATGGAATCACCCCAAATGTCCAAAAATTGATGACTGGGTTGAAAAATTGTGGCACATATATACTGTGGAATATTACTCGAGTATAAGAAACGATGAGATCCTATCATTTGATTCAAAGTGGATGAATACAGAAGACTTAATGTTGAATGAAATAAGCCAGACTTTGAAAGATGCACACTGTATATCCCCACTCAGTTTTTACTTGCACTCTCTGAATGAAATAAGCCAAACTTTGAAAGATGCACACTGTATATCCCCACTAAGTTTGTACCTGCACTCTAGGGCAGAGGTTGAAAGATCTAAAGACGTGATGGTGGAGAGGATGGGTGTGGATACTAGAGATTGTAAGGGGGGAGAGTGGATGGTAGAGAATAGACGGTAGAGTTCAATAGAACTCTCAGTGATGATGAAAATGTTCTGTATCTGCACTGTTCAACATGGCAACTGACAGCCACATGTGACTACTGAACACTTGAAATATGACTAACGCACCTGAGAACTACATTTTTCATTTTATTTAATTGTAAATATACATTTTCATAGGTGCATGGGATAATGGCTGCCTTCTTAGCTGGTAGAGATTAAAAAGCTGGTTCAAGTCAACAATTTGCTTAGGCCAACATAAAGACACAGTTTACTTACTCCTCCACAAACCAGGTCTTGGACAAGTCAGTGGGTATTTTTTTGGCCTTGGTGTTTACTAGCTGATCAAATCTCAGGCTCCTGCCAAAACCATGGCATGTGAGGAGCCACTTAATACATTGTCCACGTGGTGGGGCAGGCTTACTGAGGGGCTCACACTAACCTGACTGTCCCACGGTTGTTTGCCACACTCTCTACCTTGGTGAATCACATTTTCTTTCTTGCAGCTTCATACACCATTTGTATATTGTGGTTGCAAACATCGACCTCCATTCCAGAGGCAGTAGGTAAGGGGCTTTCACAGGTGAAGTGAGGGGGAATGAGGAGTAACTGCTCATGGGAATGGAGCTTCTTTTGGGAGTGATGAAAATGTTCTAAAATTAGAGGGTGGGAATGGCAGGACGATTCTGCAAATACACTGAAAACCACTAAATTGTACACTTTAAAAAGGTTAATTAATTTTTTTAGAAAGAG